GCACAGTGGTAAGCACACAGAAGATGTCTGGGGGAAAGTGCATACCAACATGAATTGGCTGGATTGGAAATACGCAAGGTCTGACCCCTAAATGTAAATACACCACCTGATTGGTTCCCCTTGACTGGACTCCTCCGGATACCAACCTGAGTTTTTGGCTTTGAGGGGAGACAAGCACATGATATCTGAGTCTCTTGTTTTTTTTAAATATTGATTCCAAAAGAGATGAGACAGGATTTTCGTGATTCCACTGGCTTAGGGATATGGATCTCAATGATAAAGCTGACTGAATTCCTCACAACATGGCATAAAGCCATCTGGAAAATAAATGCGTAGATCTTGCTTCAATCTATTCTAACCTCACTTTCCCAGGAAATGCAAGTGGATCATAATCTCTGTTTCTTTTGTCCTCAGTAGACATCAAGCCCTCCACATGTCCTGCTGCTCATTATTAAAATTTTCTCCGTACTTTCTATGACCAATCAAGTAATATTTAAACTCAGAGAAGGGATCTGGGATAGGTCATTTATAACTGTGAAGCTTTGGGAGACTGTTTGAGAGATAAATTCTAAGACCATCAAGGGAAAATCACCAGAAATCCCAGACTAAATTACATATATACCCAAGCCAAACCATCTGTCACGAACTGAATGCAGAACTGCATGTATATGAGCCAATACTCAGGTTTAAAGTAATCCATGTTATAACAGTTTTCACCCTATGAGAATATCTACTCTACAGACTCACTACTCTCTAAGTAATATCTTAGTTAAGAGAAAAACTCATAATACTACAAGCACACCTTGTAACACTGATTTTCCCCCTTCCTGAAATACCCAATCCTATTCAATGGTTAAACAGTAAGGTACCTGCTCCCCCTGGCTCAGAAATAGACGACATTTGACACTAATGTTCGTTTTCCCTCTGCTGCAGTCACAGCTTATCACTCCTATTTGATGGTAGGTAGACCCACTGCTCTGACTTATTCTGTTACTTGCGTGACAAAGGCTGACCCACCAAGGTCAGTGGTTGGATGTCATCCATCATTTTGCCAATATGTCTGCCATGATTGATGGGGATGATATACCTCAGGGTCCCTGACTTCTGTTACTGTCACATTTTTTCCTCTCAGCCACACCAGGACTGGAGCTCTCAGGTACTGTGCCACCTCATCTAATGGTCCTCTGATTACAATGGCTCAAGAACTGGCCTGCTTTTACAGAGCAATTGGACACAAGGCAGTGCAGGACTAGTGTTCTTGCTCACTCAAAAAGCGTGCTGACATGTAGGACCAAGGGCGAGAACTCAAACTGAGTTGTAATCCTTTGCTTGAGTGTAAATGTGGGTGATTTTTACCTAAACCCATAGCCCTAATAGATAAACAAATCCCAAACATTAAAGCCTGGATGATGTGAACAAGCCCATTGAAGTCACCTCAAATTTTTAGCAAAGTTAGCAAGATATCAGTGAATTTTATAGCTAAAAAATGAAAAAGGAGTAATCTTGTTTTTGAAGATAACATGCAATCTTACAAAAATGATTAAAATCCTCACCCTAGGTTAATAAACACAATACTCCTGATTTTCAAGCTTCTCCTCCCGGCAAACCTGACAGCTCCAACACAGCCAGAAGCACAGAAGTCGATTATGGGGAAAATGCAACTGGACTGTGTGTACACTTCCCCTTCATCGTCTTCTCCTTTTAATCAATAGCACACCGAGTCTCCAGCTTCTATTGAATTAGGTTTACAAAGCTTTTTTGTTCTCACCTGTCGCTAAGAAAAATCATTCATGGCATCCTGGATCTGAACTAGCGGAGACTGCATGAATCAAAAAGGTAAAAACGTTTCCTCCCTAGGGGGGCTGCCAGCTGTCTCATTGATTCAGCGCTGCTCTTGGCTGATTTGGAGGCCACCCTGGCACCAGTTCCACAGAGCACCGTGTAATAAGGTACCACAATGCAAACTGTTACCAGGGAGAAACAGCACATCTGGTCTGGAACAAAGGCAAAGTCCATTGCTAAGAAGCAGCCTGGCCATCCGCATCCAAGCGTGAATATGCCGGGGCCTGGCACCTGAAAGAGGGGGCCCCTGGAGCCAAATAAGTGAAGACAAAGTAAAAACCACAAGGAAAAAGAAATCCTGAGAGAGGAATAACATACCATTTTCTCACCATTTCTGTCTAAATGTAAAATGATAGTCTCAAATGGGATACTCTTTCTAAGAGCTATCTTTTTTTAATTTGACCAAAAACAATGGTAAGAACCGAAATTTTTAAAAGCAGACATCAATCTATTTGTGTCTTTATTCTGTGTGTGTGTTGAATGACTGAAAGCTTCCCTTGCTATCCTGCTATTGTAAGCACAGCTAATGACTGGCCTCTGTTCTGTAGAAATATTTTAACTGCCAAGGACCTATTGATGTGGGCAGTGAATCTGAGGGCAGTGAGAAGCAGCAACACGCGTGATGCCTACCATACGCCTTCTATCTATTTTTACCCAAAGGTGCTGCGCACCTACACCCGAAACTTCAGAGTCTGACGCTGTCCGGGTGGTTTTACAAGCTAGTGTTGTTTTTGTTTAGGTACTAAATAACATCTTCAGAAAAGGAGAAAAATTTGACTTCCAACTGCTTTAAAATCCAGTTTAAAAAAAAAAAAAGAAAAGCAAAAAAAAAAGAGAGAAAGAATGAGAGAAAGAAAGAAAGAAAGGAAGGAAGAAAGAAAGAAAACCTGCTTACCCTGTTGACAAAGCCCCTGTCAGAGTGAGAGTCATTATACTCTACATAAGGTTTGTGTACTTCATTCCTTTCCAAAGCCATCTGTCTGAATTTAATTCACTGATAATTTTATCAGTCTCCCCATGCTTTGCCTGAAACCTCTCCATTGCATTTTTTATTCTTCACAGATGTTAACTCTTTGAATGACAGTTTCAACGCAGTTAGAATTTTGATGAAGATACACATTCTGTGAAGGATCTCTCTCATACAGAACTCATTCCAATTGCCCCGCTGCACCAGCAGTTGGGCTTTCCAACAAAAGTTGTGCTTCTCCTGAACAAAACCAATCTAGATGTAAAACTGTATCTAGGACATTGCTAATGAAGCCACCTACAGAGCACCATCCCAGGCACACTCAATACCTATTATTTCAGATGCCTTTTTGGAAACTGGAAATCAGAATACATTTTATAGGGATAATTCCAACCTTCCTTCCTACCTGATTAGGGAATTTAAGACTATCTTTTTAAAATGCAGACCATTAAAATGCCCCATAGAGGGGCACTTGGGTGGCTCAGTCATTGGGCATCTGCCTTCGGCTCAGGTCATGATCCCAGGGTCCTGGGATCGAGCCCCGCATCGGGCTCCCTGCTCCGTGAGAAGCCCTTCTCCCTCTCCCATTCCCCCTGCTTGTGTTCCCTCTCTTGCTGTGTCTCTGTCAAATAAATAAATAAAATCTTTAAAAAATAAATACATAAATAAAATGTCCCATAGATCTATTTCAAAATCAGCTATCTGAAGGAATTGCTTCTTCTAAAAAAAAAAAAAGAGAGAGAGAAAGAACATTTAAATGCACTTTTAGGGGCGCCTGGGTGGCTCAGTCGGTTAAGCAACTGCCTTCGGCTCAGGTCATGATCCTGGAGTCCCTGGATCGAGTCCCGCATCGGGCTCCCTGCTCGGCGGGGAGCCTGCTTCTCCCTCTGACCCTCCCCCCTCTCATGTGCTGTCTCTCTCATTCTCTCTGTCTCAGATAAATAAATAAAATCTTAAAAAAAATAAAATAAAAAAATAAATGCACTTTTAGGTTGTACATAAGTAGTTTATCTCAAGTACATTATCTAGTCATTTTGACGATAGTCTATTTTTACTTTCCAGATTAATTCAAGGAAAAGGTCCTTGTACAGTTGATGTCACATCCTGCTTTTAATTTTGCCCAATAGGCATTTCTAAGCACCTTTGCTCAACAAGGTGTGATGCTGGGCACTGCGGGAGGTGGACAGGAAGGCTCACCAAACAACTACCCCCTAAAAGCTTGTGGCCTAGTGGAGAAGATGAGACACAAAGCACACTGTGACTAGTACAAAGTGCTACACAAAAAGGAGCAAGAGAGAGACTTCTTTAATCACAAATATGGGTGTAGACTCCATAACAGACATCAATTTTTACTTGGGCCCTGAAAAGTGGGTAGGATTTTGAGGAGGAGAAATGAGAATGAGAAGGTATCTAGATGCTGGGAACTCAATTCATAAGAGCATGGATGTGGGGCGCCTGGGTGGCTCAGTTGTTAGGCGTCTGCCTTCGGCTCAGGTCATGATCCCAGGGTCCTGAGATCGAGTCCCACATTGGGCTCCTTGCTCAGCGGGAAGCCTGCTTCTCCCTCTCCCACTCCCCCTGCTTGTGTTCCTGCTCTCGCTATCTCTCTCTCTGTCAAATAAATTAAAAAAAAGAAAAAAAAAAAAAGAGCATGGATGTGGGACAGCATGTTCTGGGAACACAAAGGGTACCAATTGGACTGGATCAGAGGGTGTGTGAGGGAAGAACCCAGAGAAATAGGTACAGATGTAAAGTGGGGCCATGATTTGGAGATGGAGAGGTGCCACTGGTGCCAAAGGTGTCTGAGCAAGAATAAGACCAAATGTGAACTGCACTGTCAAAAGACAAAGGCCATCCTCTGCAGGATGAATGAGGGAGAGATATTAAAGACAGGGAAATTTTAGATGTGTTGTCATAAGGAGGGCAAAAGAGGTCCAGGAATGAGGCAAGGGCAGATGGAATGAAATTCAGGGAACTTGCCCAAACACTCCAACCAAACAGATGGTATAGATATATTCAAATCAAAAGAAAGGTGGGCTGAGCAAAGCAACCTGACTAAAGTGCTTTGCTGATTTGCCTCTTCTTTTTTGTTAACTGTTGGGTGTCCCAGGTGTTGCCACCATTTCCCAAAGGAACCAATATATAGCCCCTTCTGGAAGTGTCTTCCTCAAACTTGTGATTTTTAACCCCAAGGGTGTGCACCTTTCCTAGAAGTACATGACACCAGGTTGATGCATGGAGTGTACAGAGCAAGCTCCTATTCCATCTCCCTGCTCCAAAAATCCATTTAGTATATTGTCCTATGATGGAGGATGTGTCAGATATTAAACTAATAAGGACAAATACTATACTTGATCTTAGCCAAAAGGCCGAGAAGCAATGGTGATCATTTTTTGGCTATTAATGATCACTGATACTGCTTTCGGGACAGTTAGAAAGTTCCTGACACCCATTTTGTGTTTATACTCTCTGAGCTTTCACTGGAAGACACCATTCTGAAAGCCTGACACATGGACAAGAGAAAGGCCAAGAAAACAAGGCATTGACTCCTCAGTAGCCCAGGTCTAAGTGGCCTGACAGGAGGAAACGATGGGAGAGCAAGTTAGTGCCCTAATTAAAATAATGTAGATACCAGCCATAGATTAAAATGTCAAAAATAAGAATAAAAATGTATCACTTAAAATTGGGGATGCTGATGATTATTATTGCCCCTCTGAGGGACAATACCATAGAAGAACTGAAGATCCTGATCTTCTCAGGACATGATTGTGTTAACTCTCACTAATCTCAAGGATAATGTGTGATACTAAACCAAGTCCCAGCCTAGAAAAACTGCATTCATTCATTCATTCATTCATTCATTCATTTAAGATACAAGTGTTGTAGTTTATTTTTTTCTCAAGTTCTTATTTAAATCCCAGCTAGTCAACATACAGTGCGATATTAGTTTCAGGCATAGAATTTAGTCATTCATCACTTACATACAACACCCAAGGCTCATCACGAGTGCCCTCATTACCCATCACCTGTTTAACCCGTCCTCTACCCTCACCCCCTATCCCTAACCCTACCCACCTCCCCTCCAGTAACTAGCAGTTTGTTCCCTATAGTTAAGAGTCTGTTTCTTGGTTTGCCCCTCTCTTTTTCTCCCCTATGTTCATTTGTTTTGCTTCTTAAATCCCACATATTAGAAAAACTGCATTTAGAGCAAAGTATATAAATGCTTCCCAACAAGCAACTTAGGGGAGAATCTGGCTTAATGTGGTATGGTAGGACTAGCTAGTCATTCACCAAAACCCAATCTCCTTTTTTGCTGAGGACATAGCCAGACTGTATTTCCTGGCCTCACGATGGATTCAATGACTTCTGCCTAACTAAAAGTGATCACAAATGATGTTCTCCACTTACCAGCCTGAAAAGCTTTCAGCTTGAGCCTCCATATTCTCTTTTTTGTCTTCTGATGAAGTAGAGGAGCAGAGAACTCCAAATTTCCAGGGAATGATGGGGCCACATGAAGGAAGGACTGTGTGAAGCAGACATTTCCAACAACCCATACTGGAATATGTTGGGAATAAGAATACTTTCATAAACTGTTACTGTGTTTAGCCACTGAGATTTTGGGGTTGTTTGGAACATCAATCAGCCTGCTCTGGCTGATAGACATTTAAGGCTTTAGAGTCAGACAAACTTAAGCCTTTGTTTCAGCTCTGTCACTTCAATAGCTCTGAAAACTTGACCAAGTTACTTAACCTCTTAGAGCTTCAGTTCCCTTATAAGTAAAGCACGGAAAATAGAGCTGCTGTGAGCATAAAATAAAATGTATGTAAATCTACTGGCATTGTCCCTGGCAGTAGAAAGCATACAATATAAGATAGCTATTATTATCAATGGTAGAGAGAAGAAGACATCGTTTGTATGCTCTTATTATCCAGCATTTAAATGGCCTTGGGGAATGGCATAAGAAGGTAGAGCTATCAGAAATGTTCCTCTCTAGTATTTTCTAGAGAAGGCAACTACAATTTTATCTTCATCTGTTATAAAGAATTACTTCTGATTAAAAGAATATCTTGTTAATCTCAAGGAATGATAAGGAAACCTAAGATTTAGAGTTGAGATTCAAATTCCAGTATGAAATATCTACCTCTGGCCATGGTTGAATGACTGGTATGGGAAATATTCTCATTCTAAACTATAAAACTGTACAAAATATATGAGTCAATTGTTGTCAAGCACTGGACAACGAACTATACAGGGCTGTGATCCTTGACAGAAGGGAAACATGTAGGGTGAGCTTCATGTTGACCCCATATTTCTATCTAGGGCACTTACTGAAGTACAGAAAGTGGCAGTCTCATTAGTCAGAGGAGACAAAGTCTGGAATTTAGGGCTGCTTAAGAGACTAGAATTTAAAGAGAAAGGCACGGGGTGCCTGGGTGGCTCAGTTGGTTAAGCGACTGCCTTCGGCTCAGGTCATGATCCTGGAGTCCCGGGATCGAGTCCCAC